TTACTGGGAAACAGGAACAAATACATATAACTCTTTCACCAAACGAAATCATTTATGTAAAATGATCAAAATTATACTCCAATCATTATGCTGTCTCAACGAAAGCGTGTCGATGATTTACATCTGGATTTGATTTTAAAGACCTATACTAAATAATGTTTCATTTCTGATAGCAAACAAATTTGATTACATAATAACAACAGATATGAAAATAAGAAAGTATGGTTTCTGATCGTTATTGAACGAAACGAAGAAATCAAGACACACGGTAGTGTGTCTTGATGGCAAAAAAAAAACCTGCAGGAAACACTGTGTTATTCACAGAAGTGATAATTTAGCGATTTTCCTCCTTCTGTGGTAATCCAAACTATCACAAATTTTCAGTGGATGCGCTCTACTGGACGTTTACTTCACATATCAAATTTTAAGGCAATTCAATTAGAAATACCTGCGATATAACATCTTCAGTTTTGATTGAGTTTCTTCCTTTTTTTCTTCGCACCAAAAGTACGGAAACTATTTGATAGGAAAAAAACTTAACTTTTATGTGTTTTTTAAATTAGTACACTGATAGATCTTTACAACATACAATTAAGAGCCTCATTTGGTGTAAATATAAGCCACATGTGCAAAGTTATTCAACATTAACCGCTCATATTTAACGAAAATGTTTGCGCACGCCTACGCAAAAAGTCACATGAGCTATCAGTCTAACATTTGTACTACAGCTTTACCTAAGAGTAAAAGTGGACCGTTTTTAGTTTTTTGTCATTCAGATTAAAGATGGCTGATTTAGAATAGCGAAACTATAACCTGAAAGCACGTGTAGGTATTCAAGTACTGGTTAGGCCAAACAAACTAGATTAGCAGTTTCTAGCTCAAGTTTTCAAAAGAATCATACGGGTGAACGGTTATTATTCATTGCCAACTTTTCAGCACAAATTTTGTGAAATTATCCTAATTATAGAGAGTTTAGCGTCACGTGATATTAGCTTAAGCAAATAGCATGAATAATGATGCTTGATACGGTTGTATAGATTGCATGGGGGTGATGATAAGAAACTTTTAATGTAAATTACGTGGCGCTACTATAAAGGAAGCTATTAACACTGTTTTATAGAAGAAAAACTACCACCATATATTTTAAAGAATCTGGTTGGTTCTGTAAAATATGGGACTGTTCCGTCGTAGCAATTTATCTCAGATATAAGACTACTCTAAACGCTCACTGTAAGATTTGTTTGTTATGAATTTCGCGCAAAACTACACGAGGGCTATCTGCGCTAGCCGTCCCTAATTTAGCAGTGTAGGACTAGAGGGAAGGCAGCTAGTCATCACCACCCACAGCCAATTCTTGGGCTACTCTTTTACCAACGAATAGTTGGATTGACCGTCACATTATAACGCCCCCATGGCTTAAAGGGCGAGCATGTTTGGTGGGATGGGGATTCGAACCCGCGATCCGCAGATCGCGAGGCGAGCGCCCTAACCACCTGGCCATGCCGGGCTACACTGTAAGAAACGTCTTTTGATGGTCACTAGACGTTGTTAGCGAAGACTTTGCTCAACTGATGTTAAGTTCTTCAACAAACAATAAATATAAGACAGTACATGAAGCAAACTAGTGTTTATGTGTTTCGTAAAAAAAAGGTATTCTGTATCATTTCTTTAATGTTACTTTCAATAACAATATTTGATAGAAAGTTGAATATATCTCTTTTTATTACAGAAAGTATTTTTCATTATTAGCTTAGAATATCATTCTAACACTAATTTTAATTTCGTAAGCTGTCGAGAACCTCGATAGTTATTATTAGGTTTACCACCGAAAATATCGAGAGATTACCCAACTGATGGAAAATAACTTTTTAATTTAATACGTAGAACGTGATAATAGTGTATTTAATTATCTATACTCATTATTAGGTTCACTTTTATATTTCATTTAAGTAGATAGCTTGTTATGATCAGAAGTTAATATTAATAACACATTATCGTACAGTGAGGGTCGAATTCTACAGATTGATTATAGCTCAAGTGTTATCAATGGGCACTGTTGAATAATACATTCTCTGTACTCTATCAATTCACAATTATGGATGGCTAACGCAGATAGCCCTTATGAAGCTTCGCGCGAATGTCCGATAAAAAGTTTCGTTATTTGATCCCAACCAATCCATTCCACAGATTAAGAAAGAATTTCTTGACTCTGTCTTTATCGTGCTGCTTCTCAACGATCTGTCGTGCCTGAAATAGTTAATAATTTCATCCTTCCATAGTTAGTTTAGAACATGTTTTTAGTCAGCTATATTCGGGTAAGTTTTCTAAGGGTCTGTTTACAAAGGGGCTTTTTTTTTCGAATTCAATATGGGTTGGTTCGTTTGCAGAACAATGTGAACAACAAAGTTCGATTGCCAAACGAACATAACCGAATTGAGTTCATCTGAAAAGGGCGGTCTGGGCCAGTTTGGCGAACGAACTAGGTTAAGTTCACCAGAACCACGGAGGGATTCGATTAGTTTGCAAACAGGAAACTAACCAAACATTTCACATAACCGGAAATTACAATTTCCGTCTAGTTTCGACAATACAGTAGTGCGATAAGCTGCGCATACACAAGCGAAAATACGTCCAGGGGAACAATGTAGATAACAGAGGAAACAAAGGCACTTTTAGACTTTTCATTGTCCTACATTCCTATCCTCAAATGCACCATCATTTGCGGCCGGTGCTGTCTTCTAACTGCTATCCTCACAAAACACAGTCATTTCCTGCTGTTATTACGGATGCGTTGAAGGCGACGAGAACGCCCTTCCAGAATGGCCTTCATTTTTCTTCTGTGTTACGCATTATTTCTTTCTCCGCAGGTTGAAAAATGAAACAATATTACAGAACCGTTGCCATCTTTAAAATTTACCAATATGAAATAACGAACAATATAAAACAATTGTAAAACGAACCGAATCCCCTTGATTATTGCGACGTGAACACAAGTGAACACGGAAATGTTTGTACAAATGGCAAGTGTGAACAACTACCACATTCATCAAAGCAAGCGATCTAAATTGAGACCATTTGAAACAAATCCAGTGTGAATTCTGCCTTTATGTTCGTGTAGGTGTTTTACATGTAATTATGACATTCTCGTCAACCGGATATCGAAAGTTCGTAAACATGTGCCAGTCTTTTTACCTAGGTAAATGTTGTGTCAACACCTCTGAATGGCTCAGCGGTAACGTCTAGGAAGGACTTATAACTCTAAAAATAAGGTTCTCATACCTGTGGTGGGCAGAGCACAGATCGCCCATTGTGTAGCTTTGTGCGTAACAACAACAAAATTGAACACCCGGTAGGAGCTTGTACAGCATGGGTACAGGAGAGGCAGATCATTCGGCACCTGTCCCGTGAAAGTGGATTCTCTCGGGGTATCCCCCCCACACACACACACAACAATTTCCACGGCATTGGATTTATTGATCCCAGTAAAGGCATTGGGTTTATAGATAACCGCCAACCTGTGACGACCCTAATTATGAGCCATCAATGTTTGTCGATAGTTGTCCAAATTCGGGATGTCAGCCTCGACCTTTTGCTTCGCCGTCTTTGCCTTCATTTCGTCATCTCTGCCTTCACTTTGTCATCTCTTCCTTCACCAATTCCCAGTGAAAAATTTTAATCTGGACTTATATCCTGATACCGTTATTAAAAGAACACTTTAATTAAATGTGATCTCTACAAGTAGGGCGAAGAAGGATACTAATATCCTCGAACACCCCAGTTGAGGAAAACTTTTTCCTTTTAAAACTAAACACGTGCCACGAATAAAAAAATAAAAAATAGATATAGAAGCGCATATTACTTTAGCCTTGTGTCCTTTCTTTTTTAGAAACGAGTACTTGTTACGAGTTTGAGATACTCTCTGCTGTACATGTTATTTGGAATAATCAGTGACGTTCGTAACTTTGTGTTATGGGATATTGCACTTGGACTCTTTGTCAGAATTAGAGATGCGATGTACAATAATCCTTTTTGCCCTTGTCTATTTTAAAAAAAGTCTCCTCTTCACCCTAGCGTATACACTTTATTGAATTATATTTTACTTATCTATTCACTTGTGTTTGTTTTTCCTTTGCTATTCACGTTTGAAATTATTCCCTGCAGTACAAATTCTGAATCTGTTCTTGCGAAGACTTTTAACTAACTGACAAATATTAATGTACCTGAACACCATAAATATACCTGGGAAATATTTTTATTTGAAGCAAATTCGTATATATAGTTTGGAAAGTAGGGTATTTTAATACATGTCCACAGTTTTTACAACATAAGAATTATCATGCTTCATCAGTTCAAGCATATACACAATATTTTCACTTGTGATTTTCTCAAATTAATTTCTTTCTCAGATAAAATAGTATATTATCTAGAGGTTGGGGATATAAAAACAGCTACAAGAATTAAAATTATAATTTTAACTTTTCAGCTTAAAAACTTGTAAAAGTGGGAATATAAAAAATGCATATAGTTAGACTAACAAAAGCAGCTCTTAGAAATACCTCAGTGCTATTTTTACTTTTTTGAGAGTTGTTGTGTTTGGACTAACCGGTGAAAGATTTATCACACATAGATTAAAATACTTACAGAACGGTTATAAGAACTGAAAGTATAAACTATTCTTATAGAAACAGCATCTTCAAAACGATTTTCATATTTGATGAAACTTTGTAAAATGGAAGACTTTCAAAACGTCGCCCTCTACACTTGTTCTCTACAACAGGCAGTTGCCGTCCATTCTACAAAGTTTCATCATGAATACTCTGCCTAAACAATCTTTCAAATGATTTTCATACTTGTTCAAGACAAAAATAAAATATCCATTGTTAGACAGTGTATGAGAAAAGTCTGTTTTAAGATACATCAATTAACGGCGACTTCCTGTTGTTCATGAGTGAAATACAGCTGTAGTTATCCAAAAAGGACTTTTTTATCAGTTGATGTGATCAGAGTTCCAGTGTGATAGTTGTTGAGTAACAAGCAAGATGTTTGTCCTCTTTTATTAACTCGGCCTTGATGTAAAACTGACCTTCCAACAGATAGGTTGGCACAGAATCTGGGAGGCGTGAAATTTGGAAGACAACAGGTAACAACTTATATTCACCCTGGAACAATTCAATGAAATGTATATAATTATACGTTAGATGAGTTTTCATACAACACTCTTATCTGCGTTTTATTCAATATGAAAATTCACAAACACATTACATTAAAATAAACAATCTGTTGGCATAAAAAATAAATAATTCCTTTTGCGTTTCTTTCTTACTTCGGACTTTATTTGTTAGTTTTACGTAATAATCTTATCGAGGATGTTCGACAAGAAACTTCACAATTATGATTACAGCTACTGCTATACAAAGACGAAAAACAATCCAATCTGTGTTGTGGTGCTTTTAATATCCTTGTTATATAATATTACTGCTCAGGTTAAGTGTACTTGGATGTGTATGGCTGTATTGGTCGTTCTGTATAAATGGACTGCTCACCATAAAGATTGAACACCAAATTTTAGCATTATATATCTCAAGTTTACCGCTGAATCACTAGAGAATCATTTTTTCTTAAGTGGAACTGGATGTTTTGTGTTTTCCAGAACTATTTCGTCTTATTCTAGGGAACACCAGAGACATCAGTGTTATAGATAAATGGTCAGTTTGACACGGTTGTAAAAACATGAAGCTGTATGAATATAGAGATATGCATATCACAGAATTATCTCCATTGTGATATATAACTGTTTGGAAAATGATTAACAACTCAATAAAACTGTTTCTATTTTCTATTAATCTGTTCCGTACTAAGAGTTAGTTCTCTTTAGTCGAGTAAATTTGCCTGGCAAATGAATGTGATTATTGAACAATACTGTTTTTTTTGTTTTTTTATAAATTCGAACATTTTACATTTATTTTATGATCAATTTGAAGCCCCCCAGTGGCACAGCGGTATGTCTGCGGAGTTACAACGCTAGAAACCCATTGTGTAGCTTTGTGCTTAACTTCGAAATTATAAATTATACTACGAAATATAAATCCTTATCAATCTATTATGATAACAAAAAAAGACACTTTATTTTAAATTATATTTTAAAAACTTTGTACATCTAACCGTTTCGGTTATGCAAGTGTAGCAGAAACTCGAAAAGTAGCATATTATTCGAAGAAACTGACATCATATTGTAATTATACATCATTCCATTTGAAATATGAAGCTATTTCTTTTGTGCTCTGGTTCAGATTACTTGATTGATTAGGTAATCATAGAATAACTTATAACAATTACCATTCTTTTTATTTACGTTTTTGTTGTTGTTGTAGGTAAAACTAAAGATGATGAAGAAAATACCGTTGTTGTTCGGGTTCTCCACGTGGTTGCCTATTCCTTGCCTACCTAATGATGTGGGTTCTTGTACTTTTAATGATTTATGTGAAACGCGTCTGTTTACGGATGGAAAATGTTTGGATCCTGATACAGAAGAAACAGTTTCTTGTGGCTGCCCATTTCAAAAGGTATCTACATGGTCGCGTCTTTTTTGAGGCAGTATTTTCTCTTATTTGGTATTATTTTATTTATTGTTTTGGTTTTTGAACGCTAAGTCTGTCTCAGATTTTGATGCTTGTGTATTATTCTGCCAGTCATCAGGTCAATATTTATTGTATAAATAAATAAAAACGCAATAACAGTGTTATTTGCTTTTCTTCATCCCCATACAAACAAACAGCCCTCCAGTGGCACAGTGGTATGTCTGCACATTTATTATGCTAAAAACCGGGTTTCGATACCCGTGGTGAGCAGAGCACAGATAGCCCTATGTGTAGCTTTGTGCTTAATAACAAACAACAACAACGACAACTACAATCAAACTGTCAACGCAGCCTAGTGATAACAATATTGACCCAAAACTACAAAAAAAAGTTAAAAACTTGACCATATTTTATGTAGTAATTACAGTATTTTTTTCTATTGGATGTGACTCTGTTCCTTAACTGACATAATAAAGTACTGTGCAAGTGGAACAGTCCTTCAAATTGAAGTAATAAAAAAAAATACAAGCCGAAAAAAAAAAGTCTCAAAGTCATTTAGGATTTTCTTTGTTTTTGTTTGTAATCAAGCACAAAACTACGCAATGGCATATCTGTGCTCTGCCCACCACGGGTATCAAAAACCCGGATTCTAGCGTTGTAAGTCCGCAGACATACCGCTGTGCCATTGGGGGGGGGGGCTTCTTTATTTTAGAAGTTTTGCACAAATATACACAAAAGCTATCTACGTATACTCGACCCTAATTTTTAACTCATAGACCAGAGGGAAGACAGCTAGTCAACATTATTCACCGCCACTTTTTAGGACTACCCTTTTATTGCCGAAAAGTGGGATTTGCCCACCCACGGCATCAAGTACATAGCGGCAAGACTCACTGTCCGAGCACACTAACTGCAGGCCACGCTCGTGCTTATTCTCATTTTATGTGCATATAGTTTTACAATATCAATTAACCACACTCGGCTTAGATTGTTAAGTTTGTTTGTTTGCTTTTTGAATTTCGCGCAAAGCTACACGAGGGCTATCTGCGCTAGCCGTCCCTAATTTAGTAGTGTAAGACTAGAGGGAAGACAGCTAGTCAGCTACTCTTTTCCAAATGAATAGTGGTATTGACCGTCACGTTATATCACCCCCACGGTTGAAAGGGCGATATTT